TCCGTAGTGCTGGCGGGAGGGCGCCCTGAACAGAGCGGTGGCGCAGCTGGGTCCGGCCCAACGCCCCAAACCCGTCAGAAACGCAGGCTCCCAGCAGTAAATAAGTCACCGCATCATCGGAAGTGCCCGCATTGACAGCAGTCTGGAGGGTGCTTTGTGCACAGAGGGTAGGGAGAGGTGCACGGCTCCCGCCCGCGGGGCCTCCCAGAAGCTCCCTGAATTGTAAGCGGCAGTGTCCCAGGCACTGGGCATGGGCGCTCCAGATGCAACAGGACACAGGTGGACAGTGGCCGGAGTGTACTGTGCAGGGCACACCCTTGTCACGAACGGGGGGTGGTGGTGGCCAGAAGCCAGATCACAGGGGCCTTGAGCGTCATGCCAAGAACTCTTGAGTTCGATGCCACAGTCAGAGGGGAGCCATGGTAGACTTTAAAGCAGGAGTTCCACTTGTCCTCCGGCTGCACCTTTGTGACCCCCCCACCTCCCCAGAAGCTCCCTTTCTGAGGGGCAGAGGAAGTCAACAGAGAAACCGCAAGGCCCCACCTGCCAGGGCTGATGGGAAAGGAAGTGCAGCAGGGGCAGGGCTAGGTGGGACAAGGGGTTGAAACCACAAGAAAGTTTTGGTGGCCTGTGTGGCGGAGGCTGTGGCCCAGGAGGAAGGAGGACACAGACAGCTGCCTGAGGGGCTTTGAGCCCAGCTGTGTGGTTACCAAGACTATAGCCTGCAGCTGGCAGACCAGGCTCCCACCCCGCCCACTGGGCACTCACCACACCTCACCCAGGGGCGCGCCTCTCAAAGATGCACTGGGAACGGTGCCTGAGTGTGGCCAGCCTGCAGCCACACCGAGCATAAGTGTTGATAAGGCCTTCCCTGGCCCACCCCCTCGCTTCCCAGAGCTGCAGGAGCAGGCTGCGGAGCTGCTGGGGGTGGAGCGGACTCTGTTTGTGCCCACCAACACTATGGCCAACCTCATCTCTGGTGAGTTTGCCCGGGTCCTCAGTGCACACTCTGTCCCTCGGTACCCATTCATGGATGGCATTTCTGGATTTCTCTTGGCCTGCCCAGTGCGGTGCCGTGGCAGAGGGTAAGGCGGTGAGGTCAGTGCTGCTCCCCAGTTCCTCCTCCCCGGGGCGTCCTGGCCCCCACTCCTCTAAGCACACCATCCATGCCCTCCAGGCCCCCCTGTGACCTCCTTCCCCCGCCTCACCTTGTATACCATCGTTCATTAAACACCAGCAGCTTCCCACCAGGGCCTTAGAGCTGCTGGTCCCCAAGGGGTGGCACCGCGGCTGGCACCTTCCTGTGGGTGCTGATCTGCAGGTCACCACCTGTGTGGCCCCGTGTTTACAGTGTGGCCTCCCCACAGTTGCATATTTAGAGCGACGGTTTTCCAGTACATGGTGTTAAGATGCTTTGAAGGCGCAGTTTCCAGATTGGTATAAGAGACTCGTGAGCTTGCTGTGGCCAAGCTGAGCAGGGCAGGTGGGGAATCGATGCCAAGTCCTGCCCTCCTCCCGTCTGTCTCAGTGATGGGTCACTGTCGGCGCCGGGGCTCCCAGCTCCTCCTCGGGCAGGAGTGCCACCTCCAGGTCTATGAGCAGGGCGGGGTGGCTCAGGTAAGGACCAGGTACGGCTCCCCTGGGGCCCTGGGCGTCCTCTAGCCACCGCAGGGCGCTCCAGTGGGAACCTGCTTGCCAGGTGCTGGCTGGGAGAGAGAAAGCTACAGAGAAGCCCGATGGGGAGGTAGGAGGGACAGCGTCTCTTGGATTTACCACTTGGAGGCAGCAGTGGCCCAGGCTAGCTCCGGGAATACTGGACAGTTATTTCTGCCCAGTGCTTGGGTTTCGATGCCCTCCTGCCCCCTAGTGGGCACTCGGAATACTGGCAATGGGGGCGGGGAGCCTGAAGACAGCACGACAGGTGTCAACAGAAAAGGGGCCCGGCACCCTCCTCAGTTGACATCACGTCCAGAGGCGAAGGGAAGGGGCCAAAGCCCAGAGATGGGGAGAAGTGGGCACAGGATTGGGGCTGGGGGCCGGCTCCCTACGCCAGAGAGTCCTCCCCTTCCAGGTGGTGCTGCTGGGCCCCTGGGCCCCCTGACTCCTTCCCCACCCGCAGCTGGCTGGGGTGCTCGCCCACCCGCTCCCGGACATGCCGCATGGCACGCTGGACCTGGCTGAGCTGCAGAGGGTGCTTGCTCGGGGCCACAGGAGCCCCTACCACCCAGTGTGTGAGCTGGTGTGCCTGGAGAACACGCACTGCAGCTCTGGAGGCCGAGCCCTGCCCATCGACTACCTCCGCCAGGTGGGCCTGCTCCCCACCATGCCCCACCACAGCCCGCTGAGCTTCCTCTGTCCTCTGGACCCCTGCCTGAGAATGAACCGCTCTGATGCACGCCCTGCCACCTGCCTGCTGCCCACATGTCTCCCAGCAGTGGCCAACTGACATGTGCTGGCCCAAGGCTAAAGGTGCGTGGGGAGTAACTGCCCAGTAGGGAAGCCCCAGTCCCTAGACCCACCCAAGAGCAGAGGTGTCACATGCGAGCCTGCTGAGAGCCCAGAGCATGGCCACCACAGCACGGCGACCCTGGTGAGGCTGAGACACATGGCCGGCTCCAGCTGCCCTGGCCCTTTGGGCAGCCTGTGAGGGGAGTTCTGCTGCTTCCCAAACTAGCCTTGTGTCCTGCCTTAGTGGCACTGGTGACCCCTCGTGACATGCAGTGTGGCTTCCTGGGGGGAGGAGGCATCAGTGCCCTCTGCCTGTATCAATGTTGCGCAGAGAGGTCACAGTCGAGGTTGCAGCTTCGCAGCAGCGCTTGCCTCACATGTGCAGGGCCCCGGGTTCCACCTCAGCACTATGTGGGTGAGCATGCGCATGCACCCCAGAGGAGTTAAGGTGCTCGCCCTCAGCCCCTTCCAGAGGACGGCAGTGAGGCTCAGGCGCCACGTGACTGCTCAGGTCCTACACACCCAGAGCTGGTCACCAAGCTGGGCTTCTGACTCCAGACCTTGTGATTCCTCCAGGGGCTACACCCAGGAGCCTCCCAGAGAACTGTCCTCCTTGGGCCTGGCCCCTCTGACCTCTGCCTGCCCTGAATCCCAGGTGCACCTCCTGGCCAGGACCTATGGGGCCCATGTCCACCTGGATGGGGCCCGGCTGATGAACGCAGCGGTGGCTCTGCGTGTGCCCCCCACCCGGATTGTGGAGCACTGCGACTCTGTGTCTTTCTGCTTTTCCAAGGTGGGGACGGCCCTGGGCTTGCTTTCCAGGGTGTAGTGGGTGGTGACACCTGTGGGAGGTAGAGTTGGGTGTCTGGGCTCCAGCTGCCACAGCAGCTGCCCCAGCCCAGGGACAGGATGCTATGCATGGGACAGCAAGAGTTTCTCCTCTTTCCCAGGGCCTGGGTGCACCAGGAGGGGCATTGGTCGGGGGGCCTAAGGAGTTCATTGAAGAGGCCTGGCGTTTCCGGAAAGCCCTGGGTGGAGGCATGCGCCAGTCAGGGGTGCTGGCTGCAGCAGCCCTGGTGGGCCTGGCTGGCGCAGAGGCAGCCCTGCTGCAGGACCACGGGAACGCCCAGAGATTCGCCAAAGGTGGCTCCATTGCCCTCACCCTTACTTCCCTTTGCTCCCCCAGCTTGGGCTTGGGGGTTCCCCTGCATCAGGGCTCCAAACCCCATGTCTGCATCCTTGAAGCCTCTAGGGTGTTTGGGGCTAGCACTGAGTTTGCAGGTGGGACTAGGTCTGCCTGCCTCCCAGACCCCCTTTCTCACAGTGCCTGACACCAGGAAGCACTTAGCAGAGTCGGGAACTGGGCCCTCTGCAGAATCCAGCAGGGCACGTGGCCTGAACATGGATCTTTCAACCATTAATTGAATCTTTTTTTTTTTTTTTTTTTTTTTTTTTTTTTTTTTGGTACTGGGAATCAAAGTCGGGTCCTTGCACTTGCAAGGCAGGTGGTAGAACCGCTGAGCTAAATCCCCAGCCCCATGAATTGAATCTTTGAAGCAATTTCATAATCCTTCACTGATGAGGAAACAGGCCCGCAGCTGAAGTAGCACAGTCAAGCCTGTGACCCCAAAGGCCATGTCAGGACTCAGAGTCATTCTTTTCTCTTGTGCTGTAGAGCTGCCTCTCTGCTTCCCCTATGGGACAATTCTGGGGAGTGGGGACTATAGAGGGGTCGTGGGATAGGGCTGTACTATGCTCACTGCAGGACCTGGCCTAGGTCTCCAGGAGCTGGCATCACCCATCTGCTCTGTGGATCCTGCCACTGTGGAGACCAACATGGTGCTGGTGAGGGTGAACGGGCTGTCACCCATGGAGCTGTGCCAGCGTCTGCAGGCTGTGAGCACTGAGGAGGTGGCACAGATTGGCTGTGGTGTGCGTGTGCTGCTGTTTCCCTGGACAGAAAGGTCTGTGCGTGCTGTGTGGCACCGTGACATCTCCACCCAGGACACTGACCTAGCTCTGAGGAAGTGGGAGTTTGTGCTGAGACAGCTGGAGCCCTGAGGACAAGGTGACCGGAAATCCCATGTCCTGGCTGGGACTGAAGCAGGGAGAGGTGTTCAGAGCCTGTGGCCTAGCAGCCTGCCGGAAGTAAAGCCAACCTCTGGGGAGAGGCGACACTATCCAAAGCCTCGGGTCCTCAACAGTGACTCATTCATGGGATCAGACAAGAGGTGACCAAAAATCAAGGGGAAAAACCAGGCAAACAGACCGGAGGGTGATCAAGATAATGGAGTTATTAGATACAGGATTTAAGGTAAAATACTGAAGGAATTACCAGGCAAGACTGAAAATTTAACAGAGAAATTGAAACTGTAAGATGACTCTATGGAAATTCTAGAAATGGAAACCATAATAAATTAAGATCTCAGTAGATAAGCTTGATAGCAGATGAGACACAGCTGAAGAGAGAATTAGTGAGGAGGACAGTTAGTCAGGAGATCTATCTAGATAAACACCCAAAGTTGTTTTTTTGAATGGAGTAGCCAAATTGATAATAACTTCCTGGTGGACTGGTCAAAAACAAGAGAGGAAGTATAGATCATAATTTGTTTTTTTTTGTGTGTTTCTTTTTGTTTTTTTTTTTTGAGACAGTCTCACTATATAGTTCATGCTGGCCCTGAACTCAGTTATCCTTCTGCCTCAGTCTCCCAAGTGCCAGGGTTACAGGTGTGTGTTACCACCATAGCCAGTGTACAGATTGTTTTTAATGATCTAAAAAGAATAAAATTTACTTGTATTTTTATTTCCCTAGAATAACACCATTAATATTTGTGTATATTTCATTCTGTATATGTAATGTAGGCAAATGAATGTGTGTGTGTGTGTGTGTGTGAGATCTGTGTTAGCTTTTCTTCACTATAACAATTACATGAGGGCCGGGGATGTCGCTCAGTGGTGCCGCTGCCTGCCTCACAAGCACAAGGTCCTGAATTTGATCCCCAGTAACAGGAGATAAATTACAAAAAGAGAAAGTTAACTGTGGATCCAAGTTTCAGAGGTCTCGGTCCGTGACCAGTTGGCCCCATTGCTTCTGGGCCTGCAGCACGTTGCCGCGTGGAGCTTTGGGGACACCTAAGATTCAGACTATAACAATATGTCACCTCAGTGCTCAGCAAGGCCTTAGTAGAAACCGGGGGAGACTGGCTTTTGTGGGAAGTGGCTTCAGCTTTAGGGTGCCAAGTTGAGGGTCTAGGTGGAGGCGGCTAGGAGGCTGCCGGAAGAACAGGCATAGCGCTCGGGACCCATCTGGAGTCACATGAGTGGGAAACAGCAGCATAGTGATGTCTTGGGCTTTGGTGAGTGCAACAGGAGAAAAGCAGGGCCCTGCAGCAGAGGACCCTCACACTGCCTGTGCTCCCCAGACCTCCAGAACTGCTCCCCTGAGCTCGGGGAGCTGATAACCCAGACTCTTCACCTGTCACCCCATCTCTTGTGCTGCTCCATCATGCATGGGGCTCGTTATCCATTGCTGGGTAACAAATTCCCCCCAAAAGCAGCACCTTCACATGATCATTGTCATTTCTCATAGTTTCTGTGGGCCAGGGGCCAAGGAACGGCTCAGCTGAGTTCTTCCCATGGTCTCCCAAGGCTGCAGCCCAGCTAGTCTGTGCCATCTCACTGGTGGCTTCCTCAGTGGTCCCTACACAGCAGGCCTGCTGGGCTGGCTGTGGGTGGAGACCTCAGGAGTTGTCTCTGTGGGCACGATCCTGCCCCTGACCCAGGTCAACAACTGGGAGGCTGAGGCAGGAGCATCCAGGACACCCAGGGAGCCCAGACTCAGTGCGGCAGGGGTGGGGTGACACGGGGGTGAATGCCAGGGTACCACAGTCCCTAGGTCACACTGAAGCTGAGGTTCCTATGTCTGAATGCTAGGGTCTGAGCCCAAGAGAGTCCCCTGCCCTCACTGTTCAGGTGCTGGTGGAGGCCAGGACAGGTGGCATCAGAGGACAGTGACCAGAGCCTGCCCACAGAGGGGTGCAGTGGGAGGGAAGGGGGAGGGGCGGAGCTGGAGCATCATGGTAGAACCCAGGCCAGTCAAGCAGAGGAGGGGCGCAGTCACCTCAGGCCTGGCTCTGGTGCCTTCTCTAACACGCGTGACTTCACTTTCCCCGCTCTTTCCTCTTGCTGTGAGTCACGAGGCACCAGCTCTACTGCTGTCAGTTCTCTACAGCCTTGAACCAGACACCAGGCTCAGGGCCCCACATGGTGCCAGGGCCCAAGACCTCTCATTTGGTTGGTTTTCACGGAAAGGCCACACGTCCATGGAGGTGCATTTGCAATCTCAGGAACTCCACAGGCTCCCCCAGGAATGCTCTGGGAGTCCCCACAACAGGCTCCAGTGGGGAGGCCGGTCTCAGCCTTGGGAAAGGGTCCGAAAACGGGCTTGCCTGGAAGGTTCGGCCTCAGGGACCTTCCCACTCATGCTGTGTGGGCTTTTGGATTCACACACATGCACATCCATCTCTGCACATGTGGGTGTGCGCACACAAGAGGTGGTGACCAGACAGCCAAGTTCTCCCACCACTGCACACTCGGCACTCAGAATCGCACTCTTATGTCCGTGTGTACTCACATCAGCCTGTGCTCACACACTCCAGTCACACACACACCTCTATATGTAGACTCACGCTCACACACATCACACTCACATTCACACAGCTCCTGGTGGCCCCGGCAGGTGGAGAGGGAGCTGGGTGGGGCGATAATGAGGGAAAACCACCACCCCTGGTCACCTGAATGAAGGCTGGGGCCTGACACTGTCCACCTGAACCCCACAGTCCCCCTGCTCCCTCTGCTGCTCCTGAGCAGCCGCAGCAGGAACAGAGATGCCTGGTAGCTGGGCTGCACCACAATGACGGCACACCCCTTCCCCAGGACGTCTTGGGAGGCAGAAGAGCCCACCAGGAGCTGTGCTTGGCTGTGCCATGCTTGAGGCTGGGTGGAGTCTGCAGAGCACGTGAAGGTCTCAGTCCTCAGACTATGGTCCCCTGCCCAGCAGCTCCCTGACCTGCAGCTGACCCAGTCCTCTCAGAGAATGCGTTTGGGCCATGTTTTCTCTGCTAGGCTCTTGTTGGTTTGCAGAACACAGTGATTAAGTAAAAGCAATCCCAAGTTACTGAGTATTTCACGTGGAACGCAGAGGACAGCAGAGGGCTATCTGGGTATTTCATAAGCTGCTCACCTTTCTGCACACTGCACCAACTGCCAGCTGTGCCAGTGGAGGTGCCCACTGTGCCTGCCTGTGCCCTTCAGCTGGCACTGCCCAGCCCACACCCCTGCTCTGGAAGCCTGTGGCAGACAGGAGCCCATGGAGCCTGGGGTGCTTGGGGAGCTGCAGGGCCCTCCCAGCCCCAAACTCTGATTAGAGCTGGGGAGAGAACCATGAACTCTGAAAACCTGAGCTCATCCTTAGCAGTTCCTCCACGGTAAAGCAATATAAAAGGATCGCATTGCTTTGTTTGGGTTGATGCCTCCTCTTGTGTGTGTATAAGATGCAAACTGTTGAGAGAGAAAGATCATGAGTTTGAGGCCAGCCTGGGCTACACAGAGTTCAAGGCAAGCCTGGAGTACACAGCGGGACTCTGTCTCAACAGGGCAAAAGATGTGAATTGACCGTGTGTAAGGAAAAACTAAAGGAAGTCTGTGTGGACCCTCCAGTAAGCTCCCTGCCCTTGAGCTGGACTGGTTTGAAAGGGTTTTGTTTTGCTTTGTTTTTTTTCTTTTGCAGTACCAGTGACTGAACCATCCAAGGGGTTGCACCACTGAGCTATGTATGTTCCCAGCTCGATTTTTAGGCACAGTCTAAGTTGCCAAGGCTGGCCCTAAGCTTGTAATCTTCCTGCCTCAGCCTCCAAGCAGCTTGTATCACAGGAGTGCACCCCTGCTCTCGGCCTGGATCTGTCATTGCACCCATTGCCACTTAAGTGGGACAGGACACAGCTGTCAGAGCCGATGCCAACCACTGGGATGTCCAAGGCCTCTGCTACCCAAGGGGCATTTCAGCAAGAGGCACCTGACCCCATCTCTAGAGAGTAAGGCAGGGTCGCCTATTTCCTCAGGCTGCCGGTCACGGGGAGCAGCTTAGTCCAGCCATGCTGCTTTCAAGCCTGCGTCCCACGTGTAAGACCAGAGGTGCAGCTGGAGCTGCTGACTGCTGTTCCTTAGGCCGCAGGCGCCAGTCCTCGAGGAGCCGTCTGATGAATTCTGCCAGTGTACTTCCTTCCCGTATCACACCAGCCCCGTCTGAAGAGGCTCTGCTTTAGCATGACCCACTGTCTCATCATCCATCCTGCTTTCACTGGCCTGCAGCCTGTGCTGAGAGGACCCCGAACCTGGCTGCCAGGGCCTCTTCAAAGCCTGTGTGACCACTGCTGACGTCGTTCCGATTTTACATGACAAAAGCAAGGCTGCATCCAAGCCTGTTTTCAGGCCCAGGCTGATGACCTGGCTGTTGCCTCCAACACAAACACAGGACGGAGGAAGTAGCTGGAACTGCGGGCTAAACTGCTCTCCGAGCAGCTTGAGAGGCATCAGCTACACAACTAATTTCACTGCGCCTGGCCATCATTCTCCAGCAGAAAACGAACCTCACTAAATGACTATACCCACCAGGTCAATCCATCCCTCAGGTGCTTCACAAACCTAGGCTATCCTGGCAGGCGCGCGGCGCTGGTCTTGCCAAAAGCGCATATCCGAAAGCATCTCCAAGTGGGGAGGCGGTAGGCTGGGACACATGCATCTCGTTTTCCACAGCCAGCATGCTCCGGCAGACGTGGCCGTGTGAGGAGGCAGGCAGACTGAGGGTAGTCGCATCCCCAGCTGGAATCCGTGGGTCCAGGAGGCTGGGCACAGCCGCCCCGGCTCCCCATACCTGCCGGGGGCCTCCCGCTACCAGGGCTTTGCCGGCAGGAAAGCTGTGCCCTTCCCCTAGCCCAGGGTGCACACTGTGCCCGAGTATCTGTTCCTGCCCAGTCCTCCTACCAGGGCTACACGAGTGTCTGCAATTCCTCTTCCTATTGTCACTCAGGGCAGACTTAATCTACCTCCTCAGTAAATCATGTGCACACAAACTCAGCTCTTGCTGGCCTTTATCCTCCCACTCTTCAAAAAGGAGAAAGCCCGGCATGGTGCTGCACCACCATAATCCAGCATGTGGGAGGCTGAGGCAGGAGGATCACTGAGTTCAAGGACAGCCTGAGCTACTTAGTGAGACCCCCTTCTCAAAAAAGAAGAAAAAAAAAAAAAAAAAGAAAAAGAAAAAAGAAAAACTGTGGGCTCAGTGAAGGAAACAGGTCTGGGCTTCAGTCCCTGGATGTGATGCCTTACTTTCTGTGGGCAAAGAGGTATCAGAGCGAATGAATGGACAATGTCACAACCGTGGGATTCCCTGGAGCAGCCCTGAAGGCCAATCCCCCAGTATGGCCCCACCTACCTGAAGACACACAGCACTGCAGGCTAAGCTGAGCAGAGACCCACAGATCAGCTGCGTCTCTGTCTGGGTCAGATTCACCCCCACCAGACAGGAAGTCCTTCCTGGTGGCAAGACTGCCTCAGACTGCTGCCTACCTCCTGGTTCTCAGCCTGGACCTTGGACGTCTAGATGTTTTCCTGGGGGAAACAGGGAAAGGAAACCCCAAACCCACTGCGCTATCTTTATAACTTCCTGTCCTTTCCGCAGCACAGAGGATTGGGCCCAAGGCCTCTGCACTGAGCTATATCCCCAGCTCTTTATTTTCTTGAGACAGGACCTCACTGAGTTGCTAAGTTGGTCGGGCTGGGCTTGAACCACCTCAGCCTCCCACGGTGCTAGGGCTATGGGAATAAACCACCATGCCTGGCTCCCGCACATCTTTATTTCAAAACAAAGTACAGTACTGTGAGACCACCTGAAACTGGGACACTGTGCTTAGTCCTTCCCTGGAGCCCGGACAGTGTCCTAGAGCTCTAAGGGCCCGCCTCTGGGACCAGACCGCCCAGGTCTGAATCTCAACCTTAATGATCACCAGGACAACCCCCGGACCCCAACCCAAGTACCGGGAAACGAACCCAGGGCCTCACATGTGCTGAGCTGCTCAGCGGGGGGATTACTCTCCACTGGTTATTTTTATTTGGTTGTTTTGAGACAGGGTTTATTGTGTATCTCACAATGAACTTGAACTTACTGTGGAGCCCCAGCTGGCCTTCAACTCATGATCCTCCTGCCTCAGCCTCCAGGATGCTGGGACTATAGGTGTGCTCCACACCTGGCTCTGTTGTTTAAGTGGGCACAACCCAGCAGAATGGTCGGCGCCTGTGGGGCGCCTACCCACTGGGGGATGGCAGCTCTGTACTCCATCTCTGTCCACCGGCCTAGGCTGCTTTCCCTGGAGATGGTGGAGCTGCTGATTCCCAGGCTGGCCAGTGGGGCTGTACTCTGCTGTCACAATCCAGCCTTGAAGCTTGTGAAGTGCCTGCACCTTCCCAGACACCATCTGAACTTACAGCCTAGGAGGGCCATGTATTTGGGAGCTAAGGCAGGTACCCTCAGACAAAGGCCTGAGGCTTTCTTAATTGGTGTTGACTGAGCTTTCAGACATTGGTGGCCACTGAGGTCTGGCGACAAACCCTCTTCAGAAAGCAAGTTTCCTGCGGAGGGAACACGCTTGGTAAGGCTCCAGCAGAGACGGTGAGCTGCCAGGTCGAAGCGCTGTTTTCCTTGGCCGCTGGCCAGGCCGATCTGTAAGGACCAGCATTAAGGTACCCTCCTACGGAGCCGAGGTCAGCCTACAGGCCAAGTGCTTTCTTCTCCCAACAAAAGCCACTGCAGTCATCTCCATGCTTACAGGGAAGTGCAGTCTGCAGCCTGGTTAGACACGACCACTGCGATGGCCCTCAGAGGACGCCAGCCAGTGAAACCCAATCTGCCACCTTAGCACCAGGCTTCCCGCTGCAACAGCCACGCCAGGCCACAGCACTAAGCCCAGTAATTTAGAAAGGACTCAGGCCACTGCACTCTTCTCAGACAGAAATCCTAGCGTGTGCCTGGACTCGCTCAGCCGTTTCCTGGGCAGCAGCTTCAGAATGGGCTTCTTGGCATCTGCTGTCTGGCCTTGTCCCCAGAGCCACGCACAGGGGCCCCATGGGCTTAGGATGGCTTTGTGATGAATTGTACTTTGTGCTGCTCTGTGAAACAGTAATTCAAACAAAACGAGAAAACCACATTGTGAACACTGGCAGGGGGGTTAATCTCAATGCTCCTCTTTATCCCCCCAAAGTCACGTCTCCATAAAAAAGGAAAGAAAAAGAAAAAAGAAAAGCCAAGGGAAGTAGCATGGCGACAGATGAGGAAACTGCACTTCCGAGCAGCCAGCAGCACCACGTGAGGAGGGCGCTGAGCCAGGACGGGAGGGGCACCGGCAGCCTTTTCACCACCGCCCTTCAAACTCTGCTCGGTGCATGCTGAGGCTCAAACTCAAGTGTAGCCGGGCGTGGTGGCAAACAACTGTGACCCCAACACTCGGGAGGCGGAGGCAGGAGGATCAACATGAGTTTGAGGCCAGTGTGGGCTACACAGTGAGTTCAAGGCCAGCCTGAACTACACAGCAAGACCCCATCTCAAAAAAATTTTTTTTAATTAAAAACAAACTAAAATATCACTAAATTTATGATCCCGTGGGGTTCTGAACAATATAAACACTTATTTAAAAATCAGACAAAACCAGTTTCCTCCAAAGAGAAAGGTCTTCTAGTCTATTCTTTAAATTAATTTATTCCATTGCGCTCTGTCAGGAAGCACACATCACAAAGGCAGGTGAGCTGCTGGTGGCCGAGTGGGTTTAGAGAGCTGAGACCGAGACAGAACCCCTGACGGGCAACTATGCCTCGGAGACACTGCCCTCCTCCTCACCCACTCCTCACCCACAGTAAGTCCAGGGTTTAACAGAGCAAAGCTACCAAAGAAAAAAATGCAGCCACTGTGGTGATCAGCAGCACCTGCCGCTCCGGTAAAAGATCTGCGGGCACTGCTTCCAAGAGAAAATGAAAATCAGCTTAAATACTCAATTTCAAAACTCTGCTGTTCTCCTTTCCTAAGGGGCCGAAAGGTTGGGGACACCAGAGAGCGTGCCTTGGCCCGACACAGCCCTCTGGTACCAGTGAGCACGGCGAGGGGCTCACTCCAAGGCAGCCAGCTGTTCCATGGCACAACGGACTTTTGATGCAGTTTCTTCAAATTCTTTCTGCTTGCTGTTGGTTTCCTTTGCCTGGAATAATGAACGGACACATTTGGGCTGGGGGTGTGGCTCAGAGGCAGAGAACTTGCCTACTAGCATGTGTGAGGCCCTGGCTTTAATCCCCAGCACCACAAAAAAAGAGAAAAGACAAAGTACAGATACATTCACAGGAAACAAACACATGTGCCTGGAATAATGAACGGACACATTTGGGCTGGGGGTGTGGCTCAGAGGCAGAGAACTTGCCTAGCATGTGTGAGGCCCTGGCTTTAATCCCCAGCACCACAAAAAAAGAGAAAAGACAAAAGTACAGATACATTCACAGGAAACAAACACATATAAATCACATCCTGCAGATAAAATAAAGAGGGAACATGGGCCAGGGATTTAGCTCAGGGGCACTGCTCCTGCCTTGAAATTGCAAGGTCCTGAGTTTGAGCCCCAGTACTGGGGTGGGGGAAACCACTTATGAGAACCTAAATAAACTGGGCTCTGTGCCAGGAGAGATAACCAGCAATATGGAGGCAAACGTCTGGATCCAACTCAAGTTTAAGCTACTCAAAACTTAATAAACAAAAACCACACAGGATGCTTTGTGTGCACCTGCACCATGGAACCCCGTACCCTTGGACCACCCCTAACCCACGGGGCAGGTACCGTGCAGACCCACAGGGCCACCCAGCTAGTCTGGGCCCAGCTCTGCTCCCAAGCACCCCACTCTGCTTCTGCAATTTCTACAGGCGAAGGCCAAAGCCTCCCTCATGCAACTAAACAGACCCTGCCAAATACCAGCTGCTACCTTTCACTTCCAGGCCCTCCTGAATCTGGCTTCAAACCTCTGCACTCTGCTACAAGCACCCCATCCAAAGGGGGCAAGCAACAGCACGTCAGCAAGCCTGGGACGCCCCTTTTCCTGTTACCCCCCTTAATTTCTGGTACATTAAAAACAAATGAGGCTGGGGATTTAGCTGAGTGGTACCACGCTTGCAAGGCAAGTGCTAAGTTTGATCCCCAGTACCAAAAAAACAAAACAAAAACAGGCTTGTCCATCTTGTAAGAAGCAACTGCACAGGCCCGAAAGTCTCTGCTTTTACTGACAGCAGCGATGACCACGGTCTTGCAACACACAGCTTGATCTGCTTTTCTTCTACTTCCAAAATACCCTTAAATGAACCAAGCCTCATTGTACTTACTGTAATTTGACTACCCTGTCATAGTAGAGCTCATTATCTCCATCTTATGCTTTCATAATAGAAGCTGAAGGAAAACAAGAAATCTCACCATTGAAAACAACACTCCTGCCACCCAGGGTTCTGCCAGACTCTACTTTACCCTCATCACAGGGTTTTTTTGTGATTTTTTTGAGACAGTGTCTCACTTTTGTAGTTAGACTGACCTGGAACTCACTGTGTAGCCCAGGCTGGTCTCGAATTCAGTCAGTGATCCTCCTGTCTCAACCTCCCGAGTGCTGGGATTACAGGTGTGCACCACCACGCCTGGCTCTCATCACAGGTTTTTATAAACTCAGGCTTTTTTTTTTGGTACTAGGGATCGAACTTGGGACCCTGTGCTTGTGAAGCAGGCGGTAGAACCACTGAGCTAAATCCCTGGCCCAACAACTACCGTGTCAACCTGAGCTGCAGCATCAAGGGCTTAACCAACAGTCCAAGTCAGCAGACAGCTCCCAACCCTCCTCATTCCTCCTACAGAGGTGCCAGACACCTGAACAAGTGACACGGTCCTCTCGAGAGGGAGACACCAGGTGCTGTGGCAAAGCAGATGGCCCCGGTCACATCCATTCCCTGCACTGCAGCTCCCACCCACTCTCACTTGGGGGGGTACCAGGGATAAAACTCAGGACCTTGCGCTTACAAGGAAGGTGGCAGAACCACTGAGCTAAATCCTCGGCCCAGAACTTAATGACAAAAATGTTCCATTACTGTTTGGCACGTGTAGCTACTGAGCACTTCAAATGTGGCTCGCAACTGAGGGGCTTGGGGGGGTACCAGGGATTGAACTCAGGACCTTGCGCTTACAAGGAAGGTGGCAGAACCACTGAGCTAAATCCTCGGCCCAGAACTTAATGACAAAAATGTTCCATTACTGTTTGGCACGTGTAGCTACTGAGCACTTCAAATGTGGCTCATGCAACTGAGGGGCTGAATTTTACTTAGCTGGACAGCCACAGTGGCTGATGCCTGCAGTACTAGACTTCTAGAATATCAGAGCAATATAATTGAGCGCCGCTGGTTTAACAAGAATTTTTTATTGTATAAATTTATAAACCAACGAAGAAATGGATGAGTAGCTTAAAACTCAGCTAGCCTTCCTAAGCCCTCTTCCCAACAGGCAGTTCAGTCTCCTCTCACACTGCATTGATCCTGGTAACCAGGCAACCGTGAGTGTGCAAATGCAACAACCCCACAGCCTCTGCCTCCCCCAGCCCCTGGCCTCTTTGCTCCCCTGGGCCCAGAACCTCCTCCCTGACTGCTCCAGCAACAAACTGCTCTCCCCCATGATATGCAGCACTCCAGGGCCCTGGGCTAAGAATGATGCTTCCTCTTCCTTTATTTGTGGTGATTGAACCCATGGCCTTCGCGTTCAGCTGCAACGTCTACCCTCGGTTTATTTTTTACTTTGAGAAAGGGACTTGTTAGATTGCTCAGCCTGTGCTTGAACTTGTGATCGCCCTGCTTTAGCCTTCCAGAGTGCTGGGATAACAGGTGTGGACCACCACACTCAGCTGGTCCTTCTATGTTTAAGTGGTTATGAAAGCTGGGCATGGTGATGCATACCTGTAATCCCAGCACTTGTAAGGCTGAGGCAGAGGATCACTGTGAGTTTGAGGCCAGAATGGGCTATTTAAGTGAGTTTAAGGTCACCCTGAACTATCTAGTGAAATCCTGTCTCAAAAACCCAGTAATAAAAAATTTTTTAAAAATGGTTATGAAAAAAAACCAAAAACTAGTAAGAACAGGTAACAGGGACTGTGCAGCTGAGAAGGTGGCCACACAGTCCCTAGAGCACTTGGCAGAGAAGATGCTGGCTCCTAAGCTGGAGGCCCTCCTCTAAGCCGCCTGCAGTTCCCGTGACGCTCCAGGGCACACTCCCACAGCACACCTTCCCAACCACGGATGTCCTCCCTCTTCCTGATAATAAACAACTGTCCTCAGCATCTGAAAGCTATTTTCGACAGAACCATTTTATACTGATCCCAACTAAGGAACACAATATTCAAGCTGAAAAGGGACCTCATAACCATTATGGTGGCAGAAGTGGGGGCTCCTAGCCTCCATCCCATGGCAAAGAGGGCGACATGAGCTGGCTCAAAGTCAGTGCACTTCAGACAGAACAGGGACATCTCACAAACCCCACCCCATGCTCTGCGACAAGGACATTACCCACCCAACACACCTCATTCCTTACGTGGCTGCCAAATGTAGCACAAAAGAATACAAGTTGCCCAGTTAAATGTGAACTTCCCATGAACAAGTATTTTTTAGTAAATACCCATACAGAGTGTGGGAAATACTTATACTCCAAAACTACACCTTGTTTATCTACAGTTCAGATTTCACTGGGAGCCCTGGTCTCAGGCAAACCTAACTCCCCACACTCAGACACGGACACCCCTCAAATCTGGCTGGCCCACCCCCAAACCCTATGTCTACACCACTGCTACCACATGAGCACACAGCCATGTCAAGTGTTTCCAACACTGTCACCAAGGCAGGAAGTCGACCCTAACCATCACCATGTCCCCATCAATCCAGAAGGGCCTGAGAGAGAGGAATGTCCTCCACTGTCTCTCTCAAGATCACACTCCAGGCCAGCGGGGTCTCTCCCTCAGACCCCCAGGGCTCTGAGCGCGCTTCCTGAGGGAACAGTTGGTTTAGTGCCATATGCTGCCCAGGGTCTGCTCTCAGCTCTTATTCCCAATGATACATACAATTTTGTTCTTGGCTCTTTCTTTGTCCAGTTTCAAAAATTCACTGAGAGTTAACTCTTCAAACTGCTTCTTGACAGAAAGGAATGCACAGCCAGATGAATGCTTTTTATGTTCCTCTCTAGAAAAATCAACACACAAAACATCAACAAAATAGTGGAGGTTCATGACCAACAGTCTGTGTCCTGTCACCCCACCACCTCTCTGGGCATGCTGTGCTGCTTCCAGAGCAAGATGTCTGGACCAAGCGGATGGACCCCAAGCTGTTCACACAGCCTGTCTTTGCACTTGCCCCATCCTTGTGGCTAGAGTATTTTATCTGAGTCCTTTAGCAAATGGTAGGAAAAGTGTGGTACAGATGACATCTAGAGGAATCACATGTCAAATCCCTCTAAAATCTTCAAGGACTGTTGCAAGTAATTTCATTTCACAGAATGCTCAGACTAAGGTCAAGTTGGCCAGGGTTCCCCAAGGATCCCTCTCCTCCACTTCCTCCTTTGCAATGGGAATATTTCCGCAGAGTAGAGTCACTATAACCATCCAGGATTACAGAATACAGTCACACAAAGCCAAAAAGGACAATCATTATACGGAGAAAACACTGTAACACTTAGAAATCCCCAACATTTCCCACTGATCACTGGTGTAACCAACAGCTCATCCATTCAAGACTTGGTCAGAGAGCAAATATATTAAGGAATAAAACAGCAATGGTAGCTGGGCATGGTGGTGCACGCTTGTAACCCCAGCACTCGGGAGGCTGAGGCAGGAGGATCACTGTGAGTTCAAGACCAGCCTGGGCTACATAGTGAGTTCCAGGTCAGTCTCAACTACAAAGTGAGACCCTGTCTCAAAAAACACAACAACAACAACACCAAAAAGCAAGCCCCCACACAAAAAAAAACCCAGCAATGCTCTTCTAGCCAACAAGAGAAACAACTCAGGTGATTCCCTGGAGACAAAAATTAAGGTTGTGGAAGTAATAGATTCTGACAGGAACAAGAGATGAGAAAACAACATGCAAAGATATTACCAAAAGGCAGAAAGGGTAGTCTGATTATACGCACAGAATTAAAAAACAGAAACAGGGGTGGGGAGTTAGCTCAGTGGTGCTGCCACCTGCCTTGCAAGTGCAAGGACCTGAGTTCTATCCCTGGTATCAAAAACAAAACAAAACCAAAACTGAAACAGGCTGAGTGCAATAATCCACCTACTCAGAGGCTAATGCAAGAGGATTCAAAGTGTGAGACCCATCTGGATAATTTAGTAAGACCCTGTCTCAGAATAAAAAATTTAAGAGGTCAGGGATGTAGCTCAATAGCAGAGCTCTTGCTGAGCATGTGCAAGGCCCTGGATTCAAACCCCAGCACCAGGCTGGCATGATGATGCACGCCTGTAATTCCAGCACTTGTGAGGCTGAGGCAGGAGAATCGCTGAGTTCCAGGCCAGCCTAGGTTACACAGTGAGTTCACAGCCAGTCTGAACTACATAGCAAGACCCTGTCCTAAGCCTTCTCAAAAAAAATCTCCAGTACCACAAAACAACAAAACACAGTATCTTGATAAACAAAATTCCAAACATTTAAGTGCAATTGTAAAAAGAGTTTTTGTGACATATGAATAACATCTCAAAAAAGCTGTTTTTATTTATTGTATTTTTTTGTTTGTTTGTTTTTTTGAGATAGGGTCTCACTATGTAGATCAGGCCACCCTTAAACTCACTGTGTAGCCCAGGCTGGCCTCAAACTCAGAGCAATACTCCTGCCTCAGCCTCTCAAGTGCTAGGATTACAGGTGTGCACCACCTTGCTCAGCAAAAGCTAGTTTCTGTTTGTTTTTTGTTTGTTTGTTTGTTTTAATCCAAAGCAAGCAAAGTACATGGAGTTCAGGGGCAGGAGCTGATAATTGTATTCTGTTGAACTGAAAAATATCAAGCATTTTACATGGATGAGCTTTTCTTCAATATCCATCCTGAAGGATGTTCTGGCCAAATTAGATTTACTTTGTGTGTACTGGGGGGGGGGTATCTCGGACAGAACCCAGGAGAGAACCACTGAGCTATGTCCCCAGATTTTTTTACTTTGAGACAGGATCTGTCTAAATTGCCCAGGCTGGCATCAAATTTGGAATCCTCCTGCCTTAGGCTCCAGAGTAGCTGGGATTACAGGACTGAACTACTGTGCCCAGCTCAAATTAGATTTTATTAGGTTTCACATATCACCAAGGCACCTGCACAAGGAGCTGTATGGGTTTACAACAGCTTTTTACTTCACAAGATGAGGTTAGGAATGTTACTCCTCCTGCAATAAGCATCTTAGAAATTCAAATCGTTTTCTTCCCAGCCCAGTTCAAACCCAATGTTTTCAGACAGAATCGAGGCACCCGAAGGACTAGCATCCGGAGGGACTTACATGGGGTTGTCATCTGGCTCCCAGCCTTCCAACTCCTTGAAACAGAAGAAACACTGAGCCAAATCGGGCTCATTCTCAGTAGGGCAGTGGATGAAGCCGGCCTCGGCCATCTGCAAGGGACAGCAGTTTGTGAGCAAATGCGGAGGCCCGGGACTCTGGGTCTAGCCACGTAGGGTCGGCAGCACCCGAGAAGAGGTACTTCCGGGACCTGGAGCTGGGACGGGACAGGAGGCCTTTCATGGGGACAGTGCGCGGGGAGAGGTAAGGAGAGTGGCCCCAACTGTTCCGGAGGTGGGGGGGGTGACCTTATGGGGACGCACAGGCCCAGACCCTGGGGACCAAGGACCAAGGGGTCGACAGTCTCCGGCAGGGGTAGCCCTGGGGCCGGAGCGGAGCAGGGCGGCCTGGCTTGGGACGCGGCAGGGCCGGCCCGAAGGGTGGGGAAGAAGCCGGCGGTCTCACCCGTTCTGGAGTACAGGCGCAGCCCTCCAGGAAGGGCCA